TTTGACTGAACATGGGAACTCACACACACGAGACAGAAATTCATCTTGTATGATGCTAAAAAAATCACATGCATGACAATCTGTAGGTCATCTGCTTCTTGGGAAATGACCTTTGCATTAAAATTAGCCGGTATCACGACAAACATATGTTTCTATAGATTTATCAATACTCTGTGTACATTTTTCCTTAAATTTCTCGAGAAAAACTCTGCAAACTCAGCTGAATACAAAAGCAATTCTGGTACATAATTTTAATTAAAACCACTTCATTTTCACCAGAGTTGTCAACTACACAGATGCAGGCAGCATGGAAACTTTAATGTCAATTGATCAAGAGTCATTTATTCAACATTGTTTCTTAAATAATAACAACAAAAAATTTAGTTTGATAACTACATAAACATTGAAGAGAAATGGGTAGCACTTAGTACAAATAAAAAAAATCAAGAAAAAAAGGTGAGTATGGGGTGAAGTACAGCTTTTATTCTCCAATCTGTGGACAAATACAACTACCAGATTTAATGGGATTTTCTGAAGAAAAAACTGAACAAAGACAGAGGACCTGAGAGAAAATGACCAAAATCGCACCCCTGTACGTTTTCAAAGGCCAGCTCACATTTCTTGCCATCATGGCCATTTGTACACATGCATGCATAATTATGAATTTATAAGTGAAAAAGTCTATTGATGCTCTACACTCTGATGGTATGACTATTAGGAACTCAATCTGAGTCACATAATGCTATAAACTCGATGGTATTACTGAACTCTTGTTTCTAGGAATTCAACATGCAGGCAGGAAATCAAGCTTGCAGGAAAACCTGTTATTTTCTCATGTATACAGCAACATCAAGTTTTAATTTCCAGAGAAACTATAATTTGTGTAGACATGACTGAATGGAGACAATTTTGTTAATTTTTACAATTAGCAAAACCAAAACCCCCCCCACAATGTGCAGGAAGGGTCCACTAGTGAATACTTACTTGTAGAGCCATTACCTATGCATATTTCCCTAGAGGGCGCAATACATCCGCTAAGAGTTCACACAACAGGCTACCCACCATGCCTTGTGGCATGCCTGCCATCTTATCTTCTCCTTTTCTTGAGAGCTATGACAGGAGTCTGCATCAAGTCTCCCTGTGGGAAAAGACGAAGGGTTGCTCTGCGGATAAGTATTCCCTAGTAGACCCTTCTCACTTGACTGTTACCTATGTAGAACAGCACTGGAAAACAGGAGGTGGGTGTGAGATGGTACTGTATGTTGTACGACAGGGTTGAGCAAGGTTAATAAATGTACTGGTCATTATGAATATACATCGGTGATCAGAAGTAAGGTAATGTGGGTAAGCTAGAAGAGATAAACATGGCTTACCATATCCGTGCCTTCTGTCTGTTGAGGATGCTGAGGGCTGGTACGTAAGGCTCGGTGAGCTACATCTCTTGCCATCAGTAATGCTGTTCTTCCTCAGATTGGAGGACATCCTGAAGGTAGCAGAGTATGATTGTATTGGAGGATTTCCAGCATGCTGCTTATAAAATGGGATGCTCCTTGAAGTAGGCCTGTGAGGTTGCTCCTGCTCTGACATCGTGTGCTCTAACTCTTAGAGTCCTGTTCTGATGTAGTCGGCCAGTTCTGATTGGCAGATTGGAAATGGCTGTCACAATCCAGCTTGTGATTGTCTCTTCAGAAGCTGGATGATGAGGGGGGACTGATGTGATGAAGAGACTTGTCACATCTCCCCTGATTAGTGCTGACCTGTCGAGGTACCATTTCAGAGGTCAAACAGGGCACCATTTCTTGTCTTCCGGAACAGATGAATGGGAGTGAATGTCCAGAACGAAGATATCAGGAGTGAAAAGCCCAATTGATTCTTTGTGAAGAACAAGGTGTGAGGAACCAATATTACTCTTTGTGGTTCCCAACGAATATGTCCAGGATCAATTGGTAAGGCTTGCAGTTTGCTCCATCATCAGGACATGGCAACTGCAAGTAGAAAGGCCAGTTTGACTTTAATTAAGCAAAGATGTTTGTCCTAAGGGTTCACATGGGAAATGCGAAAGTTTCTTAAGAACCTGAGGAAGATCCCACAAGGGGAGGAGCTTTCAAGTGGGAGGCTTTGTGATGAACATTCCACAGAGTGTTTGTTTGAAAGGCCTACTGGTTTTGAGGTCGAGTACGGCTCCCAGGAATGTGGGTGTCAGAGTGGGGATTTGGTATGATTTCTTCACGTTGACAAGGAACCAAAGTTGTGTGGTCATGGTCAGTGTTTCCTGAAGGGCTTCGTTGACATCCGTTTTCGTGCCACTAACAATGACCCAGTTGTGCAGATATTGGAAAACTGTGACACTGTTCCTGTGAAGCACTGCTCTCACAGTCTGTACAATTCGTATGAAGGAAGTTGAAAGATTGAAAGGAAGTACCAGGAATTTGTGTGTCACTCCCTTGTATTGGAATCTTAGGAACCGGTATTTTGAGAATGAATGGGCACATGAAGATATGCGTCTTTGAGATTGAGGGGCGTGGCCCACGATGGTATCTGGATTGAGTCAAGGATCGTAAGGAGTGAGTCCATGTGGAAGCATTTTGGGAGAATGAATGCACTGAGCGATTTTAGGTTTAGGATAGGCCGCCATGTTGCTGTGTCCCTTTTGGGTGTCAGAAAAAAAAGGTTGACAAGAAATTTGACGATCTGTCTCCCTGTGGAACGATGTGAGTTCCATTCTTGTTGAGGAGGGACTTGACTTCTGCTTCCGAGGCTAGGCATTTTACCGGGTAGGTTGTGATTTTGATTTGAGGAATGATGGTGTCTGATGGGGGGAGGGGGATGGGATGGGGTATGTGTGTTCGTGAATTCCAGAACATAGCCGAACTGAATTGTTTGGAGCATCCATCGATCGCAAACAGTCCCGTACCAGGACCCTAGGAAAGACTGAAGGCGGCCAAAATTTGCCAGAGAAGATATATGCTTTGGCATTTTCAACTTTCATTCCCAATATCAAGATTTTACTATTTCAACATAATTCAAAATTGATATTGCAGATATTGATATTAGTATTAGTACATCAAAGGACCCTACATTCCATTAGCAACAGAGGTTTTGCATGGCAGCCATCTTACAAGCTAGTTCTTTTGTTTTAAGGGTACGCACAAAGGTGGTTTCCCTGTGGAACAAAAGAATTGCTCTGCAAGATGGCTACCACGCAAAGCCTCTATAGGCCAACAGGTAGTGCTTCACATAACTCGAATGGCACTGTTAATTATCAGGAACTTAAATGGCACACCAGAACTCAGTGCACACGATAAGACAATTCCTCGTCTGCTCAGGAATCAATCAAATTGATTGAAGGAGCAGTCTGAGGGAATACAAATGAATGCAAAGGGAACATTTGTTCGGTACAAGAGATTTATCTTTTTTATTATAATCAAAGCTAGACTGCACATGAACATGTACAAAACAGTTTTCTTCCAATTTCTTAAGACACAGATCTGTAGACTCAGCTGAGCTGAATAAAAAAGCAACGCGGTATTTAAGTTGAAATCATATTCAGCAAAGTACAAATATGACAGACCTCAAAATAAACATCAAAATTAAACAATATCTTTTTAAGAACCTCCTGCAGAGGTTATTTAATTTTCCAATGACAAGATAGATATCACACACTCAGGTAGTACTTTGGAACACACCTGGTGTTGTGAGAACCTCAGCTAGTATGAACCACTTGCTGCCGGGGAACCCCATTTCGAGCACCATGGGTTTATACGCAGAGCCGAGGAGCCCGAAATGGGACAAAAGAGCTGGTTTGTGTAACAAAAGCCAGTACTCGGAACAAAAGTCCTGCTGCTGAGAAATGCCATCATTTTTTGGCTTGCAATTTTCGAAGGTAATCCGTCACTGTTTTTAAACAGTGTACCACTGTTTTGGGCATAGTGCGCCCGCGAATTAGCACCGCGGACAAAAGTGCTCCAGAGCCTCATTGATGAGCGACTCAACACCGCTGCATGCTAATCCAGCCACATTTGAAAAGACACCATTGGCATTCACTGGGGACAAAGGATATTACACAACACCTCACAATTCTGGGCTCTCTTTACAGGGTGGCAAGCCTGGCTGAAATACACAGGAGTCAATGCTGGTTGCCTATCAGCTTAGAGTAGCCACCAAACAGTCATTCGTGTGGATGTAAATATCCATTAAATGAAATGATGAATTTTCGAAGAATTGTAAAAACTGAAATCCTGAAAATCTCCCGTATGTGCATTTTTAAAAGCACCTGACAGCAAGTGGTTAAGCAACTTAGTTGGCACTCAATCTATCAGGACATACTCACTGATTCTGGTGGTACTCGATAGCTCTGGGGATACTGAAAAACATTCAAAATATACTCAGTAACTCAGGTGGTACTCATTACACATGGTACTCAAAACTCAAACCATCAGGTGGTAGCATACGAGGTACTCGGACCTTCAGGCGTGTTCAGCAACTCTGTGCTCCTCCTCCTCAGTTCCTCAGGTGGTCACATCCTCAAGTGATTCTAATTTTACTGAATTTCACCATCTCATATTACTGATAGAAACAAAAGGGAATTGGCTCATACATCCAACCCTGTTTTCAACTGTGCTAACATTATGAGGCTTGACTTGTTTCATGGTTGATCTTCAAGTTTTGCACTCCTGAACATCATGAGTATTTAGACAAAACATGCACGTATGCGCCATTACATTCATGGCATATACATGTACATATATGATCATGGTCCAGTCAGTGTCATATCAAGAACATCAGAAAGGCGCAGATCAAGCAATGATGAGTGCCGAAGTCCTTTTGCCAGGTCAAATATCATGCGCGTTAGATTGCCATCTTCTTCCTTTTGGTTGGCTTCATGTACACACTCAATCCAAATGTGTGCATGTAGCAGCGAGAACCATGTTGAAATTCAGTGTGCACACGATCAAGCTTCCAGTTTTCAAACACAAGGCCAGTCCTACACACGCCTGAAAAGAGACAAGTCATATTGCACTTAAGGTTTGAATTTCCTGTACTTCAATTATTTACTGGAAATATATTACTGATTCAGAGGTCCATCTAATTACAATTGTGGTATGGTGGAGCTGAAGACGGGACTGATATTAAAAAAGGAATACATGCAATTAAAGCACGAGAAGAGACAGAAGGAGTGAAAGAGGCTCTCATGACAAAAGAGACAAGGAACAATGAACTAGCTCTGACATTTCACTACAGACAACGGTGGTAGTGGCTATGTCAAAAGAGGTGATGGAACAAATTTAAACCAAAAAATGTTAACTCTCATCTTTCTTGGTATCTGGCACCCTCCGAGGGCAAAAAGAGAGACATAATTGACAGCACTCACATGTACGCATACTTTCAGGTGCACTGCTCTGTGAAGACACTGCAGTTTTTGTGCCTTCTAGGTAAAAACGAATTCCGGTGCAAAACCTTCATTTCTCATGATGAACTGTATATTTCTTCCAAGTTTGATTTTGTGCCAAAAGACTGCATTAAATTTGGCAGCACCCTATTTGCTGATAAACTCAGACATTATGTCCTAGTCTCATGAACCTGGGTAATATTGTTTTTCCTCAAGTGTTTAGTGACACGCTGAATAGTTAACAAACCCCATACTTTGCCTCATTATTTCACCTTACAGCTGCACAAAGCCAGCCTTAAGTTATTAACAAGACATCCTCTCTGCTATACTCTTTTTTTCTCCTGATGCAGTAACATCAAAACAAGCCTACAGGTGGGCTATTTCTTTCTGTTTTTGTCAAAACAAAGTGGCTGCCTTGCACTACACTGCAAAAATTACACTTGGAGGGAAGATGTTGGGCAATGTTATTCCAACCACAAATTGGAATGACATTACCACCTCTGGGGGTTAATTTGGGTGTGAAAGTTGACCAACATTGGACAGCATTGCCTGAAGCCAATTTTTGACCAACACATGGCAAACAGTTCAACAGTGCTTGACAGATGTCTGGAGTGTGTGGATCTGTTGAGGCAGTGCATGAATTTGACCTTTCACAACTTCACACCTGCTGATGAAAAATGTTCTACAAGGTCACATCAAGACCTGTACATGCCAGTGGTTCATGGTGAACAAAAGACAGGGTCTGTTTGGAATCTCCCTCTGCTGGAATATCATTTGGCAGAAACAATGTAAACACAGTGAAACAAAAATTGAAAATGAGCTTAACTGAGAACTAGACACAAAGGTGCATTTTGGAGGCCAGCACCAGTATTTATTCATGCCAACTACCTTAGGGCTTTGTAGCTCCAAAGCACTTGAATCAGGGATTCGATTCTAGCAGCTGATTACATGTGTACATGTTGTAAACAGCGACGTCTCTTTCAAACCAGGAGTGTAAATGGGTACCTATGGGACTAGAGATGATTACTGTACAATGTACTTGGCTTCAGACAAAATTGTCTCTCACAAGAAGGCAGTATCATTGTATGCATCTGCCCAAAGGTATCATGCAAAAATGCATAAAAAAGTTACCTACTGAATTGAATTAGGGGTAGCACAACAGTGCAATAACGGAAGCCACAATCAACTGTAGGCGAAGTAAAATGGGTCTGAAACAAAGATCCTTGCCAAATCTTTCACTAAAACTGGACAAAAAATGCTGAATGAGCAGTCTTGACACATTCAGTACCATTTGCATTCTGTTACCTCCTGAGAACTCAGACCACATAAACACAACCAATCCATGGACAGAAATGATAAAACTGATGACAGAAACACTGTACAGTTGATTCAACAAGGGAACATTCCAGCGTTTGTGGCTTTACAATGTCTTTTCTTTGTAACACTTCAGCAGAAAGAGATGAAATGCTGGTAACACATGTGCAGAAGTTGTTTTAAAAACCCCAAGGGCAAAATATAAATACAGTCACGGAGTTCCTGCACCTTCATGTACGAGTCCCATATTTTATCGAGATTGAAAGAGATGGTACAAGTTAAAGGTAGGGCAAGTTAATAATAATACATGTACTGTACATGCACATCCAAGCTCAGGAATCCAAACAGCAGGTGCGAACAAAATACCACGAGCAAGGCTGACATCCCACGAGTCTCATTAGGTGCTCCATGGAACCATTTTTTTCCCTAAAGGTAATGTCTGGGGACATCCGAGTCACTGACGTCCTATGGCTGCAGAAACAAATTTGCACACATACTAAGATCAATTTTATGAGACGGAGAAAAAAATACTGTGAAGTCTGCTTTTAAAAATGTTGTTGTTGGATTCCGATGTTGAGAAAGTGAAACTGCTATAGGCAAGTACATGTATCTACACGACATTCTCTTCAGCTGTCAGAAGCTCAGCAGAGGCATTGTAATGGAAGTACTAAATACCAACAAAGAAGTGACACACATGCAAGTCCATCAGAAGTCATGCAGCCTTGAACCACGTATGACAAAGGTATTCCTTTGTCATTATACCCATCTCCGCTCACTTGCCAATGGACTCACGGACTTAGCCAAATGCTATCAAGTACATACTGCCATGTACTGGACCAAGGGTGGATCCACAACCAAATTTTCAAGGGCTGAATTTGATTTTCTTTTTTGGGGGGGTCATAAAACATTTAGAAATTCTGTATGTAAGTTTTCATGGTCTTCCTGAGGGGTCAGCATGGGCGTCAATCGGTGGGGGATCCACTTTTCCAAGTGGGAGGACACTATATCATTATTGTCCCCCACATTTTTCCAGAAGCTAAATGAAAATGTATAGCTTGCAAATGCATTTGTTAAAAAACTGGCCAAAGTAGCCAAATTTGTCTCAAATCACCCCACAGAGCATCTATACTCCAAACTTTTCTGGACCCCATGCAGCTCAGAGCTTCACACTCGCATTTGTTCTGATCACGACTATGTCCCCCCCCCCCACTTTTCAAAATGGATTGCACCTTTGGGGGTCAGGCTACGTTCTTGGACCTTTTAAGAAAGGGAAATGAAAAAGACAAAAGAAATGCCTTTAATAATTGTCAAAAATAAGGGCTTCTTTTGTTGGGGGGATGATGGCCCCAATTGCCCCCTCCCCCAATTTTAGCATTTTTTTCCTCTTGGCAGTTTGCCAATAGGTCAATTGCATGGCTATGTCCTATGTCCAGAAAGGTCTTTTTAATTTGATCTATTTAATGTCTTTGTTGTCAGGCTGTGTCAAAAACTGGCACTCTGTTGCCTATAATTACAACTACTCACTATTGCACACAGAGTTCAGCCAAAAACTGCAGTTGTGTGAGCTCCATGAGGGAGAACTTGCCTAAGTTTGTGGTGCCTTGTGGCCCACCAGAACGGCAGGAATTACCCCAGGAGATCTTTGTGATGGGGTACTAGATCGGTGCATGTACCTCACAAAAATTTAATGAAATGGATTTTTGGAATTAACTCAAAAAGGAGGAATTTCCAAGGTATACTTATGTGAGAGACATTTGGTCCAAATTTCAACCCAGGAATGTTATCTCAGTTCAAGTGGGAGCAATTTGAAACTGCACTTCACATACTAATATTTCAATATATAAAAGAAAGAAAATACCCCACAAGGATGTAAATGTAAGTGTGTGTGAGAGGGCGTTTTGTCACAAAGTGGCGATATCCCGTTTTGTGGGGTGAACCTGTGCGCGCCAGTAGTGGAATAGCCTCGTTGTATGCTTGGCGGGGCCACATTGTGATGAGCACAAGTGATGTATTACTGTTGGAATGCACAGTTCTTGCGTGTACCTCTCGTGCTCAGCTGAAATGGTCCGTACCAGTCAACTCTCGGCTTTGCTAGTGAGGAGAAATATTGGACAGAGCAGATGATGGCAACTGAGAGATTCTGCCAGATGTAACTTGTAGAATCATATATAATTAATATAATATTATTCAAATTTGACCAATTCTAGTGAGGAAAAATACAACAAAAACTAAAAAACTTGAAAAGATAAAACGACCGATCTTCTAAAGGACCACATAACTACATGTAAATACTAGGCCTTCTAAAAGTAATTTTTCAAATAAAGAATCTCCAGTTGAGAAGGTTCAAAGTGATTGAAAACCCCCAACATGTTTACATTTTTTTAACAACAGAGAGTAGGCCAAGACTGAAGCTTACAAAAGAGCTTATGAATGAGGTAATTCCATCTTGTAATCTGAATTTATATTTTCCAAAAGGAAGACTGCGGCAGCCATTTTTAGTCCAGAAAAACAGCAAGAAATATTCCAGTTGTGAGAGGAAAGGCACTATCACAAAGAGAATTAAATCAAATATTTCAATGTCTGCATCCGGATTACAATTCAGCAGCATGGGAGCTGGTGACTTCCAAGGTAAGAAGTCTGAAGGATGAGAAGCTGTGGATTTTATTGTGATGTTGTTTCTAAAATTCCAGTCATTAATCCTGGAAAATGATGAATTGATTGATGTCCCCTGAGAAGGAAGATGAAAAATTATTCCTTTTTCAAAGGCACTTTACCACATCTTGGCTATACATCAACTTTTACTGGGGTGAGCGAAATGCCAAGTTGATTCTTGATTGTAGTAATAGCAGCGCACATGTTGGTCATTCTTCATCCTGACTGGCCCGCAACATGTGCACAGATCACAAATAGATAAGTGCAAGAAAGTGACACTGTGGATGGATCAGTCCATAATGTTTAACACATTCATGGCACTGTGCCAAGTACATGTATGCCATAAATCTTGCCGTAACCACACCAATAACAACCAGAAACAATGTTCACACAAGGCAGGTGTTTCAATTTTTAAGCATTTTTCTTTTGATTTGAATTCCAACTTTGGGAAAGCTTAATCAGACTGGTAAACTTATAAATATGTCAACAGCTTCACAACAACATTAACTTAAAGCCTCCTGTGCATACCAGTGCTGTGGAATTGCTGCTGGTACTTCTAGGGCAGAGTAAGGCCTCTGGGACTCTAGTACTGGTGCCTGGGACCTACAGAGTACTTAATCCGACCCTGCAAAATGGCATCATTTCCCTGAGCCTTTGGCTCTGATAGAACACTCTATCCTAGGGTCAATCACAGGCCCTCCAGGTATGTGGACATGCACAACTGCCTCCACCACTCATTAATATTAGTGTAACACAATGTATTGACCTTTATGACAGCCTGCCTACTGTTGATGAAACTGTGATTCATCAATTTTGATGGTCTATATCAGGTATCACCGTACAAAATTAATCCCCCTATATCAATAATGAAAACAACACCACAAGTTTGGTTGGTCATGGTAACTGTAGCCTTTTGTATACATGTACCTCTTGTTTAGTTCCTTATTAAACAATGGTGCAAAATCATCTATCTTTACTTTTCAAAATCCAGGCCATGTAGGGTTTGTATTTTGTAATACTCAAAGTTTCAGTGCCTGCTGCGTCCCATGCATTGGCACCTCCAGTAATACACTAAATGTTTTAGTCATGTGACCTCATTAGTGTGTAACAACCATCAACAAATATGGCCTCCTCCCACAACAAAGTGTCATAAGTTTTATTTACCAAAAATACAGCTAATGGTCACAGAAGTACTTAGACAACTGATGTGTCAAGTACTGTATCAAAAAACAAGATTTAAAACACACTTTGCTAGGAGGACACCATGTTTGTAAAGTGATACCTCAATGTTGATACCTACAATAGGTCACGTGACTAATAAAGGCCGTTTCACACTAGATGAAATCACCGAGGTCCTGTGCGATAAAATCCCATCCATGTCATGAAATCGCAAATCTGTGATGTGTGAAAGAGACCCTTGCGAAAAAATTGCCAAGGTCCTTGGTTTTTGATCTCTGAGGTCCCGACCTCCTCCAAACTTTCGCACCTTTGTCAAAATCACAGAGATCGTGTGTGTGAAACGTGCGCGGTGTTCGTAACCACGGACCCTGGTTTTGGCAAGAGTACTCTGCATGCGTTTGCAATAATAAAGATGGCTACGTTTGAGAAGATCATGCTTATTATGCTTCTGTGCAGTTTAATGAGAATTAAATGTCCCTCGAAATCAAAGATTAGTAGAGTACAAACCCCTCCTTTTGATGCTGGACATACGAACATAGCACACGTCGGGGCGTACGTACACGTCCATGTATGTACAGTGTACATGTGCATGCACATATCGCGCACGCGGGAATCTCGGTGGTAACCTACATATGAACGTACTGCGAACAGTTATTGTGCGCTGTACCAGTGAAACAGTGAATAAGGTTGCACTACACCGAATACGCGCCCATAAAAAACAGTGCAAAATCGGACCGAAATAGCATCGCCTGTTGACTCTCGTGAAGAGGTTGGCCTCCATTTTTTTCACTGGAAATTCAAGATTATGGTCAGAAGATCACTTTTCATTTCAATTTCATGGGGGTTAGCAACGAAATTTTTTTCAATTTGCCTTTGAACGAAGATACTCCCCAAACAGCAGTAAAACTAAGCGCTTATTTCTGAATGTAGCACCTGTATCGGAAATAGGCCCGCAATTTGGGGCTTTTCGTGACAGAAATACCCCGAACTGGAAAGTATCTGTCCAAAATTCGAGATTTAAAGAAATATCTCTATGATGCCTCTTGATTATGGACTGTCTCATCTTGTGGGATTAATGAGACCACGTGCAGAAATACAATGATTTGGTGGAATGCACCCATAAACAATCGTGACCCTTGACCGCATCTTACGTACCGGGGGTAAACTCCCAAAACAGGGGATGTTAGTGTTTTGGTGTACCACGTTGTGTGTGAAAGCTCGCTTCGCAATCGCATATGATCAAGGCGACAGACTACTGGCGCCTGTAACCAAGGATCCTAGGTTTTCGGCTTGTGTGTGAAACTGGCTTTAGCAGGCGCAAATTGGTGCATTTTCCGGGCGGTGTTGGTATGGGATAGATAAAGTACATGTACATGCAGTTCTGCAAGTCAGCCCTTTCAGTTTGGGTTCAGGTTTGGTTCAACAAGGTTTAGATTTTTTTTCTTCTACAGTTCTTGTTCAGGCTCAGAATAGCCATGTACTTGTTATGGTTCCCATTACTGAAAGATATTCTCTACCTGCCAAAGGAAGAGAACACAGGAACACCAATCATGTGCATGTACGTGCACTGAGCTCAGCTTTTGCTGAAAATATCAAACTGTTTGCCTTGCTTTGATTTGATTCAGTTCAGTTCAGTACACTGTGTAATGTACTGTGTTTGACAAATTACAACTCTGTTTGTTAGTTCACAAGCACAAGAAGCAACTGGGCATCAAGAGTGCAATTGTCTCAAAGCTGTTCACAGACAGAAACAAGACAAAGATCAAAACACAGGACAAAGGAACAAACTGACGTACTAAGATATTGCAAAAAGTCACTCAATGGAGACAGGACGGAACAAAGTGAGAGAGAAATATAGCCAGACAACATGACGCGTTGAGGCTAGCTGAGGACAAAAGGGTCAGAAGGATCAACCTGTGATACAATTATCATACCTGATTCAGAATCTGGCCACGTTTGCAAGGTTAATTCACATGTACCACACAACAATGTCGATAGCAATAGTTACAAATTGTGATGATAGAATTCCCTGCATCACACCAAAACAAATCTGGTGATGGAAGATGAGCCCGGTAGATAGGCTTTCGTTTCAGGCAAGTTGGTAATTCATTCAAGTTCCAGGTGTCATTGTTCTGTTTTCATTTGAGGGGGCACCCTCCAAATGCTTTTTTTTTCTTACAATCTACCCTGTTCATGTATTAATACATGTACAACAGCATAAGAGTGAAATTTTGGAGGAGATTTGCACAATTTAGTATCAATGGACCTATTAAGCTTGTTGAAAAATTTGCCCCTCAACAGACAAGTTAACCCTTGACCAAAATGAGCAGACATGGTGTATGTAAACTGAGCCTGCAAGAACAAATGTTCTTTCCGCAGTTACGTTGCACACATTTTGATGCAAATTTATGAAAGTGGGATATCATTCTTGTGAACTGCCCACCTTTCAATTGCACATTTGGTACACATTTACCTCACTTATGACTGCATACTTCATTTGAAAAAAAAAAAGTTCATTCTTGGGAGTGCAAAATGCTTCAACTTTCAAGGTACTCTCTTACTTGGATGGTGCAGAGACTCAGGTCGTCATCTGTCACTGTACAACCGAATCTTCCCATCCAAGGTAGCTGTGACTAACTGCAAGATTGATGAAAAAGAAAAATGCATTGAATAACAACATATAAATCAAACACATCTTCCTACCACTCTAGCAAGCACTCTTGACAACTACCTCAAACCAGTAGGCAAGCACCTACACAACACCGCCAACATGGGGTAGCTACCGGCACGGCTTCTGACAAAGGAGGGGCTAACAAGGAAAATTATCAATACAGCAGAAGCGACACTGACATCATTTTTATGACAGTAATGCAAAACCTGCTTCACAGTACATGTCCTTGAATACAGCCCTAACCATGCTGAACCCAACAAGGTTATGCAGGATTTCAATGGTCCCTAGGGGGTTAGGGGTTATGGAACTATTGTAAGTTATTTTTCAAAATTCAAACAACGTTCTATGGGTGAGACATTTACACTTTTAAATGAAAAAAGTTCCAAATCCCTTTTTAGAGTTTCCCCCTGTTTAGATGAAACCGCTCCCTTGAGGGGTTGACGTTTCGATTAACACAATCTGGCATTCATTTTTATTGTAAACGATGCCTGTAAAATGTAATGTGATTTTCAGAACACTTTGCTGCATGGTTATTATCAAATGAATACCATGAATTCATCGCTGGAACTTTGTGTCAGCTATTTACATTGTATACAATTTGTTGTGTTAAAAACTTTCAATGACACCGCGGTGAGGGTGGGACTTTTACATGCTTAAATGGTAAAGGGGAGTTCTCTAAACATTTTTCAAACTAAACGTAATGCCCACCCTTACAACGTTATGTTTTTGCAAAGGTCATCTCACTGCAAAGGGTGTTACAGGTGGCATTTATAGATGTGAGCAAACAGGGACCACAAAGTCTTCTGGAGCAAAGACAATCTTCCCCCACCCGAGGATATATCCAAATAGTCCAAATACACGGTCTCAATGAAGGCAGCTCTGGATTCAGGAACAAACATGTGTGCGATCATCAGACTGGGATTCCAGCATCTTGAAGCTTGTAGCGTTTCTGAGTTGGCGGTTTGGTTGCTTTGACACAAAGGGAAGGAGGGCCTCTCTTCCTGCTTCATGTTCAGTGATAAGCTACTGACGATGGCTCAATATCCGATGATGAGCAGCAAGCTATCTGGTTTAAACCCCTCTGAATGCCCAGTTCATCCAATTCACTGTAGTCAGTAAAGACTATTTGAAAATTCCAGAAATGATTACTGGCTATACAATTTCCTCGGCCCTTGATCTCTTTCAGCATCTTATTTTCATTTGAAGTTGACGATGGACCTTTCCATGAAATATGCAAATTAGACAGGCGCATGCGCGCTACTATACTACCACTGGTTGGCAAGTGCAGCCGTCCACACTGTCGGTAGCGTAGGTGAGCTGCTAGTAACCATAATCTGGTGCATTGAAGGTCAATCAAAACCGTATTACAGCCTTTGCCAAACACATAAGCACTCCCTTCTCAAAACTAAGTAAGCTTTTCAGTTTCCTGAGTTTGGAAAGTAACAATTCTTTGTCTTTTAAGTTTGGCACTCATGTCAAACTATACTGGTACAGAAATGGCAATAGTGGCACGCGTATGGAGATTTGTATTGTTATGTCATAGATTTAAGCAGCTTTGCCAACCAGTGGTAGTAATATACATGCGTCTGCCTTATTTGCATATTTCATGGGAAAGGTCCATTACGAAGCTCAAAGATGTTGCACTCGATTCTGTGATTCATTTTGAATTGCCCTGCAACTTTTCTGTTGCCTACTTTACTCTCATTTGCCAGGTCTTCAATGCCACTCTTGTTTCAACATTAGGCACTTCCTGCAGATGGTGCCTAACTCTCCAAAACACCGGAAAAACTGGAACACAAAAATTCAAAGCCCAATCTTGAGCTCTCAAGATGACAGGTGATGGCAATGGAAGTTCACATTCTAGTAATATCGGGACAAAAGGGATTAAGTGGCCAGTTACATTCATATTCTCTGTATCCTGTTGGAATGAAAATTGGGAAGGGATGACGTGTGAACACTGATGTTGTGGAAGATCCTTTGGGTATCTACACTTGTCAGCTTTAATAGGGTGGGGTTTGGGGTTTAGGGTTTAGGGAAAAAGAGCAGACAAGGACCCTTCATTCTGTTGTTCTTCAGCTGAAAAGTTGAGAAGCTTTTGTGGTGGTGGTGGGGGATGGGTGGAGGGGACAGATCAACACAGAGCCAACTGCCACAACTTTGAGTATTAGAGGCTTGACATTACTGACGGCTCAATTTTATGTGGCAGACACTGGCCACATCTTCCCTCCTACAACCAGTCCACACTCTGACTCTGACAGTGACCACAGAACATGAAGGCTAGGACAGATGCTTAATACTGAATGCTCAGCTAAATCCTATGATAAACCTATTCAGAGGAAATGTGAATTTTTTCATACAAGAATTGACGTTATCGGTACCAGCAGTTTATAGACTGACCCCAGCTGCCCTTCCTTCATGTTCCAGGGTTAAGACCACGGATGAAATGATCCCACCCTAGGACTTAATGAAGGCTGATTCAACTCGTTAAAGTGCCGACATGAACGAGAGCGACTGCAGAATGCAGCTGAAAATCTCCACTGGAGGAAAGTAGATACTGTAATCTGTGCGGCCAGCTGATGAAAAAGCAAACTGCTTATGTGTGCATGTGCAGCCTCTTCTGGACACAAACGCAGGAGTGCACAGGTACTAGGTGGATGTTTGATGACCACAGAGCCCACTACATGTGGCTGTGCCCACTGGTGGTGGAACGGGGACAGGGGATGGGGGACCAGTGCCCCCCCTGCAAGTGGTGGAGGGGGGGCTTTGAGGCATGCCTTCTCCCACTCTTAGTCATAGTACAATGACACTGGGCTTAATGGATCTGTCTATTAATGGCTGATACCTAATGGTCTCAGTTGGGTATGCCTGGCCAAGGTAGCCCACAAACAGATCAGCACTCAACCATAGTAGACAGTGCGTCACCTGCTCAAAGCTATGCTCCTTTGCTAAGTCATTATAAGAACCGACTGAGGCTATACGACGGGTCAAGGTAACATGTTTCCTGGCTCTATGCTTGAACTGCTACGCTGGTGAAGTAGATGAATTCAATATTAAACGATGGGTGTACATTCACCTGATACTCATTATGTCTTAAAAATCTAAAAACGACCACTGCACAGTATTTTTGCCAGTGTCTCTTCCATGCATACCAATATATGTACAGGTATGCAATCATTATTGCAATCATGTGACAGGATAACCTGGTCTCATTAAGCCTCTTTATTCCCCTAACAAAGCAATCACATAAGTTAAAGAGTCAGGGTTGTTACAAACTTTCAATGCTACACGTGAAACTTCATACACAAGGGGGATAAACTGATTTCAATCTCTCCGTGTAAAATTCGTCCATGATTTTTTTTTGCCATCAGCTTGGGCACAGGTATAGCATGTAAGTTGCTATTAATGCTAATTCAGCTAAAAACCACTTCACTGAAAGTCATTGGTCTTTCAGAGAGAGGGGGTCATTAATTGATTTATTGAAACTGTGTCTATCACTTTGAAGGCTAATTCACAGCTGGAGCTCACGGCAAAACTAATGCATTTGTTTAAGGGGAGAGCAACTGTGTACCATTTCCAGTAATGGTCAAGCCAAATGACATTGACACCTAGACAAATTTATGCCTGTTTTGAAATACTAGCCCCTACTGATGGATTAGTCAGCATATGCAAGGACAATCAAGGTTAAATTCCTACTTCCAATGACTAAGGTGTGAACAAGTGTAAAACCCACAGACACCAATGAACAGTGGAATGATATATGTACATTATAGAAACAACAGCCCCAAATGCCAATCACTTCTTAAAATTCCAGCCAAAAGCAGATGTTGTACCGGTATTTACACCTGTAATTTGTTAAATTAGGTACAGGTTGCCTTCATACCTGTCTGACTCACATTACCCCCACATCACTTACTGTCATAGCACATCCAAGCATGTACAAACCAGCCAAAAATTTTCATTTGATTAATTTCTCCTGCAAATTCCATATGCAGGTGGGTTTCAATATCAATTCCAGCATGTTTTTTCCCAGCCTAGGGAAATCAAGCTTACCACAGAAACTAAGAATAAAAAGCAAAATCTTCTGATGGATAGCTGTGCTCTAATCAGTGATAAATATGGGCCCTGCTGTGAACTGGCAAAGAGGGCAAAGTGTCGACTGAGCTCCATATGATTTAAGCCATTCATGTTAGTAAAGATCTCACTGATTTCTGGGGTTGTTCTTGGGTGGCTAAAAGCAGGGGTGGGAGTGGGGATTTCCTCATAACTTATTAAAAAACATGTCCACCAGCATTTTGGATACGGCACTGCCATAAAGATGTCAATGCTATGGACAGTAGTTAGATAGGAGGAAAAAGAAATTTCTACAAAATAATCACCACAGATTTTGAGCACCCAACAGCAACATAGAGTCTATGGTATTTAGACTGGTTCATTTCTTGTTTACTATATCAACTTTTATACATAGAAACATAACACCTTAATCATAATCCATGGATTTTCAGAAATCAAGGGAATTTGGATGAAAAGAATCCTGAAATCAGGAAATATCCCGACAAATGTCACCCTTGAACATGTGTGCCCCTCTTCCATCTCAGATGTTGTAATGGTGCTGGAGTTATTCTAAATACCTGAAACTTTAACTGTAGGCCTATGGTTGTAAAGGCTGCAAATTTTGGCCAGAATCTTGAGCAATTTGCAAGTCTTATTTGTCAAATTATTATCTCATAAAAATGCACAGTCTACTGCATAATAAGTAATTGGATGCAAAAAAACCAAAAAACAAAAAACAAAAGTACACACACCGCCACACAACATGTTGAGCTACATGTACAACTTTGGCATTTAGACATATTCAAAATTAATCAAAGGATCATATTGCCCTAGAAAAGCTGTAGAACTTCCTAACTTGAGGTACATGTAAATAGTTTGCAAGAAACCTTAAAGAAATGAGTCCAATACGTAGTCA